TGTTGATTCCTTGTAAATTGGTGTTTGGTTTTTGGCCGGAAAAGCGACCACCACCACCATAGGGTAGTGGCTGCCACCACTTACCACCACCGGCCACCATAGGGTGGCTGTGTGTGTGTTTATTTCCGTTTAGTGTGTTTATTTCTTGGGTTGTAATTGTAAATTGGAGATGAAATAATAAAAGAAATTGGAAACCACCACCTTAGGGTGGTGGCTGTCGCCTCCTGCCGCCACCGGCCGCCGTGTCGGGTGGCGGTGTGCTTGTCTTGTGAGTTGACTCGATGGGGGATGCTTGAAACCCTAATGGGCCTTGTTAGCCTAATGGGCCCAATGAAGCCAAATGGGCTTAGTGAAAACCCTAATGAGTCTAATGGACTCTAATTGACCCAATAAAACCCTAATGGGCTTGATGACATTCTAGTGGGCTTGATAGGCCCAATAAAGCCCTAAATAACCTAAAAGTCCAACAAATTAATAAATGGGCTAGTATTTGGGTTGGAAACCCTAATGCAATCAAAACCCTAATTTTGGGAAATTAATCGGGACACACGGGAATTATTTAATAACTGGGAATATTAAATAATAATCATTGGCAAGATTAATCTAAGCGACAGTGGACTTAATGGATTAAGTCCTTAGAGGATTAAGTCCTTAGAGGATTAAGTCCTTAATGGGTTAAGTAGGAAACCTAACCCTAATTGTCATTTTACATGAAACCCTAATTTCACATGGGTGTATTGTTGGGCCTTCTATTGGGCCTTGATGATTGCGTTATTAATGGGCCTGGGGTAAGGCCCATGTAAGGGGTTTGGGCCCAATTTGGAAAAATTGGGTCATAGATGGGCCATAGTCTGGGCCTTAATGATTATATGATGTTGGGCCTTAGAATGAGACCATGCATAGGCCTAGGCCCAATTTGGAAAATTGGGCCATGTGTTGGGCTTTGATTTCTAATTGACTTTGGGCCTATGGATTGGGCCTTGGGCTTGAATAAGCCAAGATAGGGGTAATGTGGTAGTTACCCAAAGAACGTACTTATGATTATGTAGTAGGACCCAATTATTAATTGGGTGTTATTTTGGTGGTGACAGTTCGGGAATCTGTCATCCAGCAGCTGGGGTTGAGTCTGCGGGACTTCAGCAGAGTGGGATTGTGTCTACGGGACTTCAGCAGTGTGAGGTGAGTTACCTTCCAGTAGTGGTGGGTCTACGGCCACAATGTCGGCCCACCAGTAGGAGTTGTATGTTAGATGATTGTCTTTGTGATATCATCTAGGATTGCTACTACCTGATATGTTATATGCTGGCATGATATGTTATATGTGATAGTAGTAGAGTTCGGTTGTTAGGACCGAAGGGTAGGTCAGACACCCCATATATGTCTGACAGTATGTGATGATATGTTTATATGCTGGCATGATATGTTATATGTGATAGTGGTAATAGGAGGGGAATAGTCCCCAAGTTCGGTTGTTAGGACCGAAGGGTAGTTCGGACACCCCAGATATGTCTGATAGTATGTTTATGTTATGATATATGTGATAGTAGCAGTAGGGGTGGAATAGTCCCCGATGGTCGGTTGTTAGGACCGACGGGTAGGTCAGCACCCCGGAATGGCTTGACATGGGTAGGTCAGCACCCCAGAATGGCTTGACACGGGTAGGTCAGCACCCCAGAATGGCTTGACGCGGGTAGGTCGGCACCCCAGAATGGTCGTATCGGGTAGGTCGGGCACCCCAGAATTGCCCGGCAGTATGTATGCTATGTGATTGTATGGTATGTGGTATGATGGGGGAACTCACTAAGCTTCGTGCTTACGGTTTACAGTTTTGGTTTCAGGTACTCGTGTTCAAAGGAAAGGAGCCAGCTTGATCGCAGCGCATCACACTATGTTTTCCGCACATGAGATCTTTGGGATTACACTCTGCTATGGTTTTATGATAATATGTTTTGATTACTGACACTTTGGTTGACACGAGATATTATTATGAATGTTTTTATATTGATGGTTTTATGTAATAACTTATTTAAAAATGAAATTTTTGGCCTTGAATTTTGGGATGTTACACAAAAATAACATACAAACCATAAAGTTATGGGATAATGACTTAAAAGGGTAATATATTTTTCGATTTGTACACATTTGGTCACTGAGTTTTTTTTTCGTCCACATTTACCCCTTAAACTTGTTAAACTGTATACATTCGGTCCTTATGACCGGCTACTCCAGGTTACCCGGTAAAAATGACTTAATAGGGTAATATATTTCTCACTTTGTACACATTTAGTCCTTTTTTTTTGCAAAATAAGTCATTTTTTTTGTACTCATTCAGTACTTATGAATGATTTTTTAGTTTTTTCTCACGAAATCTTACGTGGGAAATTCATTAATGAGGTGTATGGGGCTTTTGATGCTTATATTCATCGCGATCTCGACTATTTGGCTGCTTAGGTCATGTATTCTGAACGTCATAACTTCTTCATATGATCTCGGATTTTAACGATCTTTATATCCATGCGTTCGTATTTTAGTCTACTACAACTTTCATTTAGATTACTCCCATTAAAAAATAATATATTTTTACTTACGATTTTTATATCCATACGCGGTGACGGATTTAGTATGGTCTCGGTGTTGCACCGACAACACCTGTTTTTTCTGTTCGCAGTGGAAAATTTTTCACTTTTTTTTTTTACGTTTATACCTATTTTCCATGTATCGGCAACATCTATTTCATCTCGGCAACGCGTACTATGTATTACTGCGTCTTCCCCTGTCCATACGTTTTTTATGAATGCATGTATGTATGTTTTTTAAAAAATCGTTACTATATATATATATATATATATATATATATATATATATATTACATTTTAACGGGAGTAATCTTAATGAAAGTTGTAGTAGACTCAAAAGATGAACACGTGGATAAAGATCCTTAAAATCTGATATCGTATGAAGAAGTTACGATGTTTAAAATACAAGACCTAAGCCAAGCCACAAGACTTACGCAACCAAGCAGTCGAGATCGCATTGGACATAAGCATCAACAACCCCAAGCACCTCATCAATGATTGTCTCACGTAAGATGTCGTGAAAAAAACCTAAAGAAATCATTAATAAGTACTGAATGAGTACAAAAAAAGGACTTATTTTGAAACAAAAAAAAATGTTAAGGACTAAATATGTACAAAAATATTAAGGACTAAATGTGTACAAAATGAAAAATATATTACCCTATCAAGTCATTTTTCCCGGCTAACCTGGAGTAACAGGTCATAAGGACTAAATGTGTACAGTTTAACAAGTTTAAGGGGTAAATGTGGACGAAAAAAAAAACGCAGTGGCCAAATGTGTACAAATTGAATAATATGCTACCCTTTTAAGTCATTATCCCTAAAGTTATTTTAGAATTTGTGTCAAACTCAATGGATGGACATGACAGCCGCTAAATAAAATCATACTATTATTATAACTAGATAGGTATGGTGGTTATAGCTAAAAGGCTAAGTAGCAATATGCTTTTATTATACCATTGTATTTTCAGTTAGATCATTTTTGTCACGTATGACACAACTGGACAGAATAAGCTGTACTATGTCAAAGGGACATAAATTAAAGAAAAAAAAAATCTACACAAGAATGTAAAGAGTTTAGTTCTCGTATGTGTAAAAGAAGAAAATACCCTAATCAACCTTGCCAAATAAAAATAAACCTAGAAAACTTGTAATGTTAAAATCCATGGAGGGGTTATATGGAAATGATAAAGCAGGTTCACTTGAACCCAATCCAACCCGATTATCAGCTCTGTGTTAGCCTCTAATGGGTAAGGGACCCTAACAAATCAATGATTTATATTTCACATTATGTTTTGGGGTAGAGGTGGACATCCAATTATCCAAACATCTAAACGGATTGGGTTAGTGACTGACGTAAAACCGGGTTTAGTTTGGACTGGTTTAGGTTCATAAAGCCCGACGGTTTGGGATATTATGGTTGGGATTTGTTTTTGTGGCTTGGTTTGGTTACCAAACCTTTTTTGGTCTTTTAGTGGAAATTTATAAGTTTTTAAGGGAGCAGATATATGGCCATTTGAGGCCAATTTTGGCCCATTTTTGTTTACTATTTTGCCTCCTTATGTTGTGTATTCATTTAGTTTAGACACACCTCAAAAAAATTCCTTTATTCTTTCTTGTGTTCTAGCGTTCTACGTTTTTCATACTTTGGTCTTAATTTTTGTGGTAACTTCTAAATATTTTATATTTCATGTTACATATTCTCCTTTTTTTTTCTTAGGCGGCATCAAATCGATCTTATATTTGGTGGTTCTCATTGTCGGGGTGGGGGTGTCCTCGAATGTTGACAAAGTTGTCAAACCACGAATCAAATACGACGTTGCACCCAAATCAAAGCCATATTATGGGCATTTCAAGAATGATTTTTTTTTAGTGAAATAATGATAAAAAAAGGTTGCAATTATGGGAAACCATAAAACATGAAACATTAATGTTACTTTCTATAGCTAAACATATAAACCGTTGATACTTTATTAACTATCAAGGAATCGTATAGCTGAGATATATATATTGAATTGTAATCAGATAGTTTTAGTTGAAAAGTAGAGTAGGAGTTTCTTAGGTGTTTTACCTCACTAAGAAAACAAGTGTTTGCATTCTTTTGCAATACAAAAGATGTCAACTTAGTAAAAGCCTTTGCGCATAATCTATATTAGAAAAGATAACATAAACACATAAACCTCGTGTTTTTTAGATATTTTGAAAATCTGTTTTTGCCTAGCGTATAAGATTTCAAATATGCCTTGAACATAATTTGGCATTTTGAAAATCGAGATAATGACTTCACTTAGAGATAGATGTCAACAATCGGATTAGTTGTTTGCAGACCAAAAACGTAGCCTTTTTATCTTTCATTTTATGTTTCAAATATTACCTTTTATGTTTGTAACTAGAAACATATATCGCACCAATCATGTAAATGTAACTGTCCCAAAGATCTGAAATTATTATTACCAACATAAACATTTAACTGAAATGAATTGGTGTTTAGGTTACTACTACCCCTCCCTAAAAAATCCCAAACTCGATCTATCGTTATATACATAGGGATTGATTAAAATTACGATTAAGCCAAGCCCCCCACTTCACCTTACATGATGCTTCTATACATAAATTACAGGAGCCAAGACAAGACAAGACCTAATAAAGTTATGTACAGATGCACGCACATCTTCCATATCTACAACATCCCAGTTTTTCTTTTCTTTTTACCAGAACGGACACCACCTGCAAATATCCGAATGAATTTTGTAGGCTAAATTAAATGCAATAAGTTAAATTTATTTGTGTGTTATATGGAAATGGAAATGGAAATGATACCCGACGTAATTCTGGCACAAATTTTCATGAGAAGTGGCTTGTAAAATGAGCTTTTGAACTTGTAACTTAACAGATAAACCATGATCCACTTCACGGGCATCACCAGAAGAAAGTAAAGTAGTGCTGTCTGGTGCAGGCTGGAGGGTGGTGGTGGTTGGTGCTGTTGAAAAATCACGCCCCGTCAGTTTGTTACTCATACGCGCCATAACCACCACTGCACGCTCGTTCAGCACCTCGTTTGCATCACCAAGTTGATGCACAGCCTACACAAAATAAAATCAATCATAATTATTTTCTTTTAATTTTTAATTTCTCATTGGAAATTACTCAGAAAGGAAAGAAGAAAACAAATCACCTGTAAAAGCTCCCTTTCGCGAACACCGCGTTGTGGTTGTTGCATATGATTTGGAGCGGCTTCTTCGCCGTTTACAGCAGGTTGGGCATTTGTGCTGCTTGCTAGGGTTGACATTTGTGTCACTTCATTGAAGTTGAAAAGACGCCAATTTATAAGTGGGTCATGAACAAATGCCTGAAACCCAACTCAAAACAAACAACCATATCCATATCATCATCATTATCCAATCAAGAGAGAGAGAGAGAGAGAGAGAGAGAGGTAAATGGTACCTCCATCATAGCCATGACACTGTCTTTATTGGTTCGAAGAACTTGCATCACATTTTCACAAGTTGAACGGAAATTCCCTTCAAGTCCACTAACTTCCATAGCTTTTACAAGCATTCTAGTCAAACGGAAAGGAACCTGCAAACACATACAGATATGGGGTTGAAGTCGTGGATCCATGGATAAATGACTAAGTAACAAAAAACAAATAAAATATTTTTCGAGGACTCTACTTTTTCAGGAAACTTCTCACGATTCATGGAGGCTTCAAAGCAATCCCCAAAATCAATATGCAAGATCTTCCCACTATACATTCAACAAAATTCAGATACTCATTAATAATATATCTAATAGTTAAAATTATTATATTATATTATAAAGTATTTATTTATGAGATAGATAGATACCTGCCACGATGCAGCATAAGATTGCTGGGGTGCCGATCACCCAACCCAAGAAGGTAACCAACCTGTAATGTATGGAACAAGGTGGTAAATAATGGAATCAACTTTTTATGTTATAATTAGAAAGAAAAAAAAAAGCTTATTAAACTGTAAGTAACTAGTTAATTTATTATTTACAAAAAATCATACATACCATACTCATGACAGCCAAGCTTCTAGTGTAATTAGTCCTCCTGTCCAGCCACACTTCTGAAGTTCGACTTTTTAACCAAAGCACCTTCAAACATACATTGAAAAGAAAAGTTTCAATCATAAAGATAAGAAATTATGCATGCATATTCCTGTTTCAATCTCAACAACTGGATATATCATTATCATATATAGAAAGATGTGCATACCCTTGCCAAGTCATTTCCTTCAGTATTATCAAGAGCGTACTCAAACACCTCCACTTTAGCTACAAGTGGCAAGTGATCGTAATCTGGAGCAAAACTAAGCATATATTTATGCTCTTGATTCAACGTGATCTACACAACAACAACCAATAAGAAGACATTATTTATAATACAGCCAGAAAAGCAAAGGGAGAGAAAGAGAGAGTAAAAACCTTTCGGGTATCCCTGTACTCTCGGATGAGTTGGTGGAGGGTGTCACAATTAGGGACCCACTCAATTAACCCACTGTTGGGAGACAAAGGAATGACCTCATATCGTTGAATGGAAAGATCTTTTTCTGCAGTCTTTCTCGAATTCTCCAGCAGAGTATTTACTAAACCAAACAGCTGATCATGGAACAAGTATTAAGAAACTGCAACTCAGAATAGAAAGAAAAAGAAATTAATGAAAAAGTCAAAAAAAAAAAACCAACCTGCATGACACGTTCATCCTGGCGTAAATCTTCATGTCCTTTGAGCAAAAAAGCATAATCTTTCCCATCACTCCCATGAATTGTCAGTTTTCTGGGTCTCTGTTTGGATGTAATCACAACAAGCTGTGGTGCAAATGATGCAATTGTCACCACTGGTGAATCTGCAAACATATAAATATAAATACGTATGTAGAATTATATTACTCATCATTCAAAACATATAAATATAATATAATTATTATACCTGCACAATACGTTCCAGGAACAGCAAGCTCTAAGTCGCGACACTCTACTAATTCTGGAGAAACTGACTGCATTTACACAAAAGGAAAACAATCAAACACCAACTTTGAGTATTCCTTCCTTCATATTGTAAAAAGAAGCCACAAACCACAACTCATTATATATATATATATATATATATATATATATATATATATATAATACTTACTAGGGTTAAATGCAAGAAATAGTGATTGTACTTTCATTGATTTGTTTATTTTAGCGTTATACTTTAATGTCTACCTATTACACCATTATATTTTGAAAAATCCACACAATTATAGCAATGTCATTCAATATAAGGCAATTCACTGCTATAATTCGGTAGATTTTTTAAAGTACAATGCTGTAATAAGTAGAAAAAAAAAAGTGAAAATACAATGCTGTAATAGGAAGGAATGAAAGGAGGATGAGATAATAACTGGATAGAATTAGCATTGCTGTAATTTACATTTTATAAATGCATGAAATAAGTTACTTGCCTGCAGGTCTAGTGTTGTAAGAGATTGAAGCTGCTTATCTATCCTTCTAAAGACATGATAGTACAGATCCCAGGCCTTAAGAAAAAAACACACATTTAAATGATGAAGATATGAGATTCTGTTATTCAAGATGATGCACTTAGAAAAATATTATAGAGATATAAAGATTCATTGTGTACCCGAGTAAGCTCAGCGTCTTTTCCGGTTCTCTTATATTCCATGCAACACTCATACGCCTCCAATAGCTCATGATGATATGTCTGAAATTTTATAAAGAGACACCAATCAGTATAATATTTTGACAACATGTGAATTTTGATAATATGATGTAAAAGAATATCTGAAGTGACCTGAATAAAAGCTTTCTCTTTTATGGTTGTGTTGTTTCTCATGGCACCTTCTTCAAGCATTTCATGCAATGGCTCTAAAACCTTAAGCATTCCCTCAACATTATGTTCACCAAAATACAAGCGACTAGCTTCTTCAAGTGCCTCATGCCACATTTCATGCCAAAGAATTGCAACCCTAATCAACTCCTCTGATACAAGTTGTGCCTTCACATACACAAATCAAGTTGTCAGCTAAAAACCCTAAACCCCAAATTAGTCAACAGTCATTGACTCATTATTATTAAGTTATTATTTCACCTGATCCACCAACAGACCACTGTGTTGCCTCACTTTGTCAACCACTTCCTGAGCTGCAGCTTTACGCAGATTGCTTATTGATTTACAGGCGACAAGAAGAGGGTACATAAGAGCCTGAAATGGATTTTAAAACAGGTAAGTCTACATGGTGTTTTATGTTCTAAAAGGGTAAAAAAGGAAAAACAGAACAGACCTGTGGATGGCTTTGTCCTATGCGAACGAGAAGAGATTGTATCAACTCTCTCACAGCATGATTATTTGAGTGGATTCTTGCAATGATCTGAGGTAAAACAACCAACCATGTGTTGATGTTAACATGTGAAAATCCTCTTTGTAGTGCTGTTTGAACCTCAGCAGTAGCTCCATGGTTGAACCACAAAGTGAGAAGACGAAGGATGTCCTGAAAAAATCAGAAAAGTGAACTCATAAACATTAAAGAATAAAGATAAATGAAAAACAATGGACTTTCCTGATTCCAATATATGAAATTTATAACGACTCACCTGCAAGCTATCATCTACACCCTTTGCATGTGCTGCACAGGCTATAGAATGAAAGTAGCCAGTGACTGCAGCCACTACGAATTGTGCAGCAAAATTAGGAAGGCCTCTCACTGTATAATGAGACATCACTGCTGTATTGAAAAGAGCCCATGTATGCCATGCTTTTGCCCACTTTGTGGCACAATGAGTCGCATGCCTGAACGAGCTCAGAATTTCTAGAAAACAGAATTTATAAATATCATCAGAAGAGACAATAATCACATGTAAAAAAAAAAAAAAAAAAAAAAAACTCAAATTTTGTAACTACCTTGTATAGAATCATCATCAAGACCAGGGGAAAGAGCCCATTGCCATGCCCCGAGTTTCAGATATACACGTGCCATAAGTGATACATTTGGAACACCTCCAAAGCCAGTTGGTGTAGTCGATACTTGAAGACCAGATGTACTTGAAAGCTCTATCGCTAGATCCTATCAAAGAAGTAAAAAAATAAGATGATTATTACTTATAATTTATAAAATTACCTAAAGTGAAAATGATTAAACCTACCTGCAACCTAGCAAAAGCTTCTTTACGCTTTTGGTCCTCCCCAAGAGACCACTGGTATTTTAGGTATGCAAGCATTACTTGTGGGGGCCCGTGGTATCGTACAGTTTCAGGAGTTGTTTCAGGGTCAAACTATTCAAAATAGTAATGAATTACAGATTTGACATCTGAATGTCTGATTTTAAGATTAAATAAACAAAAAATTTAAATACGAACCTGTAAGAGTTTAATTAAAGTGGATTTGGCTTGACTAATCCTACTGCTTTTTCGGCAAAGTGAAGCAAATTTCAACCAGGTTTCACTATCTTCTGTAGGAGGCAATACAAGTGACCTAACTACCAAAAGAGCTTGCCAAACCTCAACATTTCGTTTTGTGCCTTTAATGCGTTCATTCCACATGTTACGAATGAGTGATCTTCTCCCCTCAGCAACAGAGTTGCCAACTGGAAGAGTACAGTAATCGATGACCTGTCACAAACAAGAATAACATGAATATGATGATCCTTTAGAACAGAAATTTCATTAAATCAGCAAAAGGATTAAAGGAAATATGAATACCTCTTCTAACTCAGACAGCTGTTGAATACGGACCATATTGCTGTAGGCTCGTTCATAGCTCTCAAGAACCTACACATTTTAACATAGTCAGCACACACAAGGGTTTAGGGTTTGATGTTGGAAATTGGAAATTGGAAATGGAAACTAACCAAAGCAGCAAGCTCAGTTGCCAAACACTTCCTTGCTCTTTCAACATATTCACGTGCTTCATCATACTGTAAAATCAAAAAAGTTAAAAAAGATATCCAAAGTTCCAAACATACAATTACAAGTGAAGAAATCCAGATTCCAAACAATACCTTTCCTCTACGAACTAAAAGAACAGCCCTGAAGAATGTCCCATTGCTGCCACCATCACCTGTGGCAGCGGTGTTCCCTAACACCCTGAGTTTAGTTTCATCACCATCATCCAGTTTAGATACATACTCAGCCATCTGATCCCACTCCCCCATGTTCCAAGCAGCATTAGCAGCCTGAGCCAAGGACAAAATGGTAAATATTATCGCATAAGCAATCAAAGATGCTTGAGTGTTGAGAGTTGAGAGAGATATAAATTATGAGCACAGACCATTGGTGCCATTTCTAATCGAGCAGCTGGCTCAGCAGGTGTCCAATATTCCCTACATAGATTGTTAAGCTCTTCCCAACGAGCTAATGCAGCAAGACTCCTCATTCGACCTAATAATGAACAAACATTTTAAGTAATTACCTTGAAATGATAATATATATATATATATATAAATATTATGATTTATGACACCATGGTATGGTATATTTGAATAATACCTAGTGTAGCATCTAAGATAAGATGTTGACTTGTTGCTTGAGCAGATTTTGCAGTGTATGCTTTAAGAGCATCATCCCACCGTTGCAGTTTTTCATACCTTGTATTTGGAAGCAACATAACTATTTAATAACTTGAGAAAATAAGAAAATGTAAATGATTTTAGGGTCCCGGATAAAATACCATGATTCCTTCAGTTGTACATCCAAACGCTGTTGAGCGTAGGTCAATATCCCAACTGCAGCCTAAATTAATATTAGAATATTAGTATATGAAAGACCAAAGTAGTAGAACCACAGTGGATATTATATATATTCACCTCATGCTGATGTAACTGGTTATTAATATGAATGAGTGCTTCAACTACAGCAACAGGGTTGGCATCCATCTTCTTGGAAAGTGCACCTTCAAATTCCATCTCTTTATAATGCAAAGCCTTGGCAAATGCTCGACACTGCAACAAAAAAAGATCATATAAACAAAACAATGCCTTAAAAATGAGAAGTTTATACATCACAAGTTTGCAAGACATCTCACCTTTTCAGCAAGAGCACCAAGGAGACGAATGTCAATGGGAAGGGGTTTCTCATCATGTTCCATGAACTCTGCCTGTAAAATACATGTTGCAAATTGATAATATGAATCACTAGAGGCACAGAGTCTATATAACTTATAAGTTATAAGCAACTGTTTTTTAGCCATACCAAGTTAAGTAATGTTGCAAGAATTTCAGGGGGTATATTAGGGGAAGAAAATGCCATCTCTAAACTGCGAACAAGGGCTTTTTGACTAGACTCATGAAGTTGTGACCAACAGCTAACAAATCCTGCTGCAAACAGCTCTCGTCCAACAAATGGCTACAAAAAGAAACTAGGGTTACAATCGAATTTATAAAAGATAGCAAATTTTAAAAATGACACCTGTAACTGTGCCAGCCTGGCACATGTTCTTAGAGCTGGAGAAGGTGATTCCTTAAGTAATTCAATGCTGAAATGTCTCATCCATTCTGCCCAATCTTCTTTAGTGCTACGTTGAGAAGCTTCTCCAGCAGCACGCAATCGAGCATCATTAACCTGTGAGAAAAAGTAAAACCATGATTAAGTTATAAAATTTTGTGTTTAACAAGAAAGTATAAGTGGAATATAATATATATATATATATATATATATATATTAATACCTGATGAACTTTGGGTTGTTTGTGAACATCTTCATAAGGATCATTCTCCATATCACTCAAAGGATCACTAATAACCTCCACAGGAGGCTGGCGGATTGACTTTTGTGCTGCTACACTGGCAACAACTAAAGGTCTACGCCTTTGTAATCGCCCCTCAATCTCTTCAAATTCCTTGTGCTGTAAGTGAAATTTATGTAAAACATTTATATATTTCTAGAATGTAACACGCGATTTTTGTAAGAAATTAAGTAATGATTACAAAATACAAACCCGCAAGCGATGCTTTATGAGAAGTTTGTGAATTGATGGGATGAAAATGGTAAAGTCCTCGCCAAGTGCATGTGCCAAACAACAAAGTGCATCAACTGCATCCTTTCTAAGCTCATCGTTTTTTCTACATACAAAGAAAAATGTTTTAAAAGCAAATAAAATTAAAAGTGAAGAGAAATTCATGTTGAGAAAGTAACAAACTAACAACATACCCATCCAATACAAGCTTCAGGTGATGCACGAGTGTTGAAATGTGTCCTGTAACCTAATGAAAAGAAATTGATGGCATTTAGTCAATAATTTATGAAAAATATAATTACTACAAACCCCACAAAAAAAAATCATTCATTAACCTGAACACGAGGGATTAATCTTATCAAGGTTTTTATAGCAGCACGCCTTATGTCAACAGAAGCATCCACTTTAAATAAACGTATGAGGGCAGGAAGAAGTAGATGCATATGTTCATCCAATGTTCCTGTAGACCAAAATTATATAACAATTAACAAATTAGTGAGACTAATTATTATAATTTCCACAATCATATCACACTCACCACCAAAACTTCCAAGGTGCGAAGAATATCACGGACATAAGTGTAATCATTACACCTTTCAGCATCACTCAGAACTTGAATACAACATGGAAGAATTATAGGAAGATATCTCCTGAATTCATCGTTCAGGGCCAGACAAAGTTGTTCAACTAGGTGCAGGATCTGATCAGAAAGTCAAATTACATTATTGCCCTTTGACACCTGTGCATTGTACAAAAGACAGATAGTAAAAGCACACTTTACCGGGGGTCCATGAACAGGACGATTAGCTGCTGGGAGACTGAATGATGACCATAATTCTGATATTAAAGAAAGCAGCTCGGGTAGATACTTGCGAATGTGCTAGAATAGCAACCAAGAATGGTTAATGATGACGTGGCGTTTAAGGAAATAGTTTTTGTAATCATACAATCCTACCTGGCGCACAATTGAAACGAGAGTTCCAAGCTTCCAAGTTATGAACTCCTTGAGAGTATCTTCACACGTACGAATAGTGTGAAAGAAGTCTGGTAAAACCTTTGGCAAGTAAGGCACACAGCCAAGACCCATTGACTAAAAAAAGATATTAGAAAAATCAATCAAGGGGAAAAAAATAAAAAAGAATCTACAATTATATAATATATATGTATTATGTGTTCTTAAAGTCAACGAACCTTGAAAATAAACATGAGAGATCCAACAACTTTTTGATGATAACTAGAAAGAGAAGGGTCTCTAAGTATCCGAATTAAAGAATTGATAGCAACCTGCAAAAGTAATAAATGTGAATTACACTAAAGGAGTAAAGGTACGACTTCTTTTTATTTTTATTTTTTGGTAAAAAAAACTTACAGTGGAGAAATAATCTTCTGATGTTGCAAATGATGGCCAAAGATCCATTGGCAACTCATCACTAGACTGGATATGTGGGCCCGCATCATTGGTTGTACGGGTCCCATCACCAAGAGGTCCTTGCAAGCTTTGTTGATTGCGCTTATGAACATGAGGATCCAAAGCACCCATTATTCCAAGAACCTAATCATTCATTGTTAACACAGATTTTTTTCAGCATAAATCTATATACATAACATCATTGAAACTAGAAAGCAGTCAAAAACATACCTTAAGAACTTCCCGCCTAGTAGACCATGCCAGCTCACCATTCAACAATTTTAACAGTAAGCCCAGCAACTGTGGGTACTCATTATATGGAGCTATCACATAACTACAAACAAAAGCCAACCAATTTTTGTAAAAAGGGTAAAGTACATTGCAGTGTCACTTGTAATATTGATAAAGATGAATACATACCCTGTGCTTTGTACAACCTGACCAAGAGTTGCAACAGCAACCTCACGTTTAGTAGCAGCAGCTCCATCCAGTAAAGCTTCAACAATTCTTGGCATAAGTTCAGGGATATATTCTCTCATAGCAAAACCACCCTACACATATACAAGTCAGACTCAGCAAATCAAACATTTTACACTTAAGAGAACAAAAAAAAATAATGTAAGAATCTCCTACCACTCTAGCAAGATCTCCCACAGTTACAAGAACACCACTAATGATGCCATTGTTTGCATTCACTCCTGCTGTTCCTTCACATAGTTTAGCCAAAAGCGCCTGAAATATGCCACGTCAGCTTATAGAATAAATAAATATGCAAATATATATATATATATATATATATATATATATGAAAGGTTTGTAAATAGTAAGAGTGTAAGACCTTGTGTATTGGAGCAATATATGGAAGTATAAGTCGTTCACAGCTGCGAATTAAGCAACCTAACAGCTTTGCACTTTCTTCTCGGCATTTGCTATCAGCACTGTTTAAAAAATAAGAGCAATAAAAAGGTCTTTAAATAATATATTATTAAACATTTAAAAGTTAGTGACAAGACAATTGAGTTCTCTCACCTTTGTGCAAGATATGTTAACAACTGAATAAGGTGACGCCGAAGTGCTGGAAAAACATATGCAGGGTTTTTTTCAGATAATCTACCAGCCACTGATATTGCATACTTGCGAACTTGAAGATCCTACCACATATACAGATATATATATATATAAAAAAATAAAAAATAATTAAACATCATTCTCATTTTGAATTAGTTGAATGAGTAACTTGTAATGTATACCTCATCATTTAGAGCAGCAAATATAGCAGTCAAGCTATCAGCTTGAGCTAGAAAGTCATCAAATCCTCCATTTCCATGGAGGGATGAGAAGATTGAGTTCCTCACAGTGACATCAGCGTCTGCTACAGCTGCAATAAGAAGCTTTTCCACAATCTGCAGTGAGAAAATTTACTATTTAATAAAGAGAATAAAAATATTTAATGGAGAATATAGAAACTAATGAAACCTCTTCTATAAGACGTCTTCTTTTGCCACCAGCTCGACTGGATCTACTGGGACTGAAGGTAGTAATTGAGAAAGAATTTACAACTAATTTACAGCAGCAAAGAGCAGCATCTTTCCTTGTGGCTCCATCATCATCTTCCAAATAAACTACAACTGATTCTCTTGCAAATTCAAGAAGATCATGGCCCTACATCAACATGCATGAAATTGTAATGCTAAATTGAATAAACTACACTTTTTCTCCCTGACTATACCTGATTTTTGCAATTTTTATAACTAATTTGTGAATTATGTTTTAAGAGCAATTATACAAATCTTGAATGCACCTTGATTAGCAAAAGCATTAATTAAAAAGTATGATTGTATCAATTTTAAAAATGTTGCAAAAGGAATATATATATATATATATATATATATATATATATATATATATATATGGACATAAAATGTTTACAGAAGAAGATATTGGCCCTAAAAGATTATAGTTTTAAAGTATAGTAAAATTCAGAATAATCATATTATCGACTTATAAGTTAATACTTATACCTTTGTCGGTAGTGAGGTGGTAGAACAAAATAACACATAGAATAAATAAACAAATAATATATTTTATAACAGAAAGCTATACTAATATATAAATTATATATTAACAAATAATTCAATTTACAATATACGCTAAATGTACTATAACTTTCAGAAATAATATGAACATATAAAATGTTATACAACTTAATTAAAAAAACAAAAAGAAGATTGATAAATTGGTCCCTGAGGTATACTGTTTTTTCAGTTTTGGTCCAAGGACAAAATGGTCATTTTAAAACTTTTAACAGCTAGGTTGTTAACTTAGCCGACACATGGACCAAATGTGTAAGGAAACTCCAAAATAAGAAGCAAATTTGCATGAGAAAACTTTTAGGGAGCAAAATTGCAAGAATAAATGTATTTTAGTTGAGAAGATTTGTTTTGGTTATTGAAGAGCTGAAATAGTACCATGAAATTGAATCGTGCAAGTGTTTGTAATGCAAGCTGCTCCAAAGCAGATCCAGTAAGTTCTGACATTTGTTGCATGTTGTTAGCCATGTTTGCTCTACTTGGAGTTGCAGATGCCCCTGTGTGGGTATTTTGGGGTTTTGAAAGAACTACTGAAATGCTTTCAAGCAACCGATCTTGGATTGTAGGCAGCAATGATGGAATGCTGAGAGCCACATTGTTATGATTATCTCATCAAAAAAGCAAAATTACAATAACACCCCTTGGAAGTTGAAACTGGTATACCTGATGGTAATCTGCTCAAGTGATTCCACTAGTACTGAAGAAAGACCAGCTGAAAACATGGCGTCCAAAAGACTGCAGACATGAGTTTCCATGGCGGGACCCATGGCTTTTGCTATGTTTCCAACACAAGCTAATGCCTCAAGAGAGGGTCTTCCTCTACGAGGGGCAATCTGTAATTTCACCAAGTATCAATATATTTTGCTTTTGGAATTTCCAAACAAACAAAAAGGAATGCTTAAAACTGGTCAGTTAAAGAGCATCCACAATAGGAAAGCGTTTTTGTGCCACATCAGCACCAACTCAACAAGGTAAAAACCAGTAAATCTTTTTTTTCACTGAGCTTATTTACGGGTCCTACCAATTTCAATTTATATCATTTTTTGATACTAATCAATATAACTGAAATCAAATGTAAATAACTATGTAATTTCTCATTATAGACAAGAAAATTAGTACATACAAATTTTAATTTTAATCTAATTATTCTACACATACTTGGGAGTTGGGATTAGATTAAACTAAATAGATAGTGTATTTTTTACTACAGAACAACAAATAAAAATACATTTTATATATTTCTAAAAGTTACCAAACTTGTACCTTTTTCTTATTTATATTTTAGTTAAAATTAAAGAAAATACGTTTTATAAGTTATAAAATATTTTAAATATCTATTTTACATTATATTAAACAAAATAACAATTAATAAACTAGAATAATAATAAAAGATAAAAAGAAATACGAAAAAGCTCATGTCAAGCTTGTAAATTTACAAGCCAAATGAGAAAAGCTATGCAATTGAAAAAGCTGTTGTTTGACTTTCATGAGCTATTTGACCGAAATAAGTATAACTAAGCCCCTATTGTAGATGCTCTAAGGGAAGCAACCAGACAAATAAAATAATTTTAAAAATTAAAATAAAAAAAAAACATACTGCTTCACGTAGGTGAGTTGTTATTGTCGGCAAATAGTGGACTAGTTCACCATCCAAAGCACCAGCCATCTCCCCAAGAGCTATAAATCCACTGGCACGTTCAGTTGGTATCTTCAGAACAGCAAGAATATGATTCATGCATATCTGTTTGTTTACCAAAGATAAAGATTAAATTTTTCTTTAAAAAAAAAAAAAAAAAAAAAACACAATGTAACAATGATTTTGAGGAAAGATTTGACTAACTGTAAGATAATTTGTCACGAATCGATCACGTAGAAAATGTGCAATCCGGGGAAGCAAAGAAGTTATACTGAGACGAACAAGGGGATTCCTATGTTCTAGATATCTAAGAACAATTTCTGCAACCTCTCTGTATCTTGACATCATGAATTCACCTGTATTTCTGTTTCATGGAAAAAGTTTATTCAAACAATTAGGGTTCATTAACTTAATCCATCTTTTTCAACTGAAAACAAACCAACCTCAAGAGTTCACCAACTGCAAGAAGAGAACCATGTATACTATGTACAGAAGCATTCTTCCCTAATCCATCTTGTGTTGCCTCAAACATACGATAATACCTATCAACATCAACATATGTTAATAGATAGATCATAAAATAAGGATTTGAAAAGATTTGAAGTCTTTGTAATTTGTAAATGAACTAAGCTACTAACCACTGCACACGCCAACGTGTCTCTCGTTTTTCAATAACACGAAGGCAAGCACGCAATGCCTCAACTGCCCTTTCCCTAACAGCTAATGTTGGATCCCTCAATGCCACCCAAATAGCATCCACAAATTCAGGCACATGAACATTGAAAACTGTAGAAGCATTCTCAGCCATTTCCTGATACAATATGCAAATAACACACATATGATCACCAAAACTAGCATTACCATACCTTAACCTTACTTTCACAATTCACAAAATATTGTAAAAAATGCAGTTTTTGGGTTAAAAAGCAATGCAGTTTCATAATACCTTTAAGATTAGGACAGCAGCAAAGCGGCGATACTCAACTCTATCACCACCAAGCCATTTTAAGGCATTTTTAACCTGTGATGATAATATGATACAAGTACTAAAGTTATTACAAGTGAAATTAAAAAGAAAAATGTAATTGAAGAAGGATAGGGATAGGGGGTAGACACCTGGCATTCCACCTCATCTGCAGTCATGGCTCCACCAGCTCTGGCTAAATGGCCAAGAACTTTACTAGCAAGGATTAAAATTTCTGGGTCCCGCTTTGTATCGAATACAATACGCATGTAATTAGAAAACTTGGAAACTTTTGTCCCACTTTCCCCAAGTCTCAAGTCTATCAATTCATCAGTAGCCCTTAAAGCTCCTAAATTGTCAGCAACGTCATTGCTTTCTAGAAGACTAGTGATTCGATCATATAATTGGTCCATGAAACGAGAAAAGGCTTCGCCACTAAGAGCACGTGCTTCTTCTTCAACATGTCTTCTTAAAGCAAAAGCAGAACCATCCTGTCATTGAACAATATCAAGATATTAAGTACTCAATATGATAAAAAGTAAAAACCTTGAAAATGCAAATTAACTATCTCTCTCTTGAAAAGCATCTTCATTGGTGAATAATAGTGAAGCTACATTTATTGGCCTAAGCACGTGTTGAATTGACTTGTCAAAAACAATTATTAGTTTAGGTTTCTTCAAGAACACTTATTCGCAATTATTATGTCGTAATTTGTTAAAAACATTAATTACCATGTTCGAATTTCGAAATATAGCATGCATTGAACTCTTTTGCACTTTAAGATAAAATTTGAATTGAAAAAAGGCCATCATAAATGCTAGTCTAAAATAAGAAAAGCAGATGATTCAAAACCGTTAAAGAGTCTACTAGGCAATATACCAAATAATATTTCTATTCTCCCTTGCTCATTGTTCAGAAACAAATGCATATTCTAACTTTTTAATGCTTACTTATCAGTTATCCCACTCAAGCATTAACTTTCTTACAGAAAAGGAAAATTGTGTCGCAAAACAAACGTATAACTTTGTAGTTTACACTTGTTAATCAAGACTACAAACTAAGCAACTTTTTTAGTTTTCATGTCACAAGTTGATTATCATTGATACACCCATTTAGCATACTAAATAATCTTCACAAGATAAGGCATTATCCTACCAACATTGTTTGAATCAACAAAACAGCAACAGATTTTTAGATAATTGGTGGACTTTGGTTCACAACGGTAACATTTATGCTCTTTTCCAAATCTGTTAATCCAATGCATTGATAAATTGAACTTTATCAAGGTCACATTCGCATTTCAACTAGTTATGCTAAATAAATGTCCAACACCCAAATTTGTTTGCCCCACCCGTTATATAAATTTTCTCAATCATTGTAAACCTAGATCAGAAAACCAAGATGATACTCGATTCTCAGTCCCATTGCAGGATCCACCCAGCCCCAGAATTAAGTCCACTCTCGAATTTAAATTGTGAAACCTAACACTTGAGAGATTCAAATTACATTGATCTTTTGATTAATGTAGCCCCAATCCCCTTGCAATGTAGTAATGTTTACACTTCAATGCGATTACTTAGTAATTTTCTTGTAAATCAAAACAATTCAAGTTAAAAATGACTCGTTTGTTCTTAAAGTCGAAATTGGATTCGCAATCGGGGTCGGAGAGTGAAAATTAATCAACAAAAAACAACCAAATCCACAGACACGCATAAGAACAATTCGAGAAAATGAAAGCAAACTGTTTGATTAACCTTTGGGGCGCCTCTAGTACAAAGGTCGGCAAGGACTCTGTTAAGAGTTTCGATGTTCCCGGCAGCTGCTGCTGTGGTGGCCGGACCGCCAAAGCGGTATGATTGCGCAGGAGCCGCCATCTCTTCACTGATAGTCTCAGTACTACCCCAAAACCCTAACCCCAACCTTGCGAAGAAGGGGGAAGTTTCTAGGGTGGGCAAACAATTGCCCACCTTGATTGATTTATTTACACAAAAATTCGAAGACTATTGGCGAATAGCGTTCTCCGATGACTGAATTTAGCTTGATCGGAGATCGACGACGATTTTCTTTACCAATTTCATAGGGTTTTCGAAGTGTTCCAGAGCAGTGTCCAGAGAAGGTAGTAGGGGGTGGTGATGCGACGAAATGTTACAGGCAAAAACCCTATTTTTCCTCTCAGAAATCTGAGTTAATGTTGATCGTCATTAAATTTAGTCAAACTTTATATTTTTTTATCAATTCACCCTCGAATATTTGTCACTTGAAATAACTACTTATGATTTAAATGCCGTTAGATAAATTAATGTTAATAAATAAATAAAAAATAAAAATTTATGAGTTAAAATATTTGGAATAATTAATGACCAAAAAACAATTACAAATTTATGTATCCAAATAGAAATTAACCATTTTTTTTAGATGGAAAATAACCACAAATTTTAGAATAGAGACACTATGACTTGTAAAATGTCAAAAATGTGGTATCGCTGTTTAAGGCTTTATTTTGTAATTTTATCACAAAAACTTCATTATGAAACTATAATCCAATATTTCGTATTTTGAAATCTAGCTTAGAACATTATTTCATTAAATGTATCAAATCAAATAAGTTTGTTTACTTAATAATCAATATATAATATATATATATATATATATATATATATAACAAATGAACATACATTAATACAAACAGATGGATCATCCAACATGATAAACCTACAATGTAGATTATGGTTAGATAATAATAAATTTTTAGATTTAACAGCATTAGTAGATACAGGAGCAATTAAAAGTGTTATATCTTATTATCTAGCACCAAAACCATATCATAAAGAGTTATCATATAAATTAATGACAAGAACAATCGAACACAGACTAATAACTATCACACATTATTTAGAACCAACTTTGCAGGTAACTATAGTATGAAATATGATATCCCACGGGTTAATATCAATCCAGAATATGTAAAATCTAATGATTTTATTCTCGGATTAAATTTTATTTTTGCCTTAAATGGCGCTATCACATTAACATGTAATTTTATCACACTTAGTAAACATATATATAGTTTTCCAACACTTAAATATACCAATACATAAGAGTTTGCGCAAAAGCGTGGTGGACAAGGTAAACTAGACTTTTAATAAGGGGGTATGACGGTTTTTTCCGGGTTTACCGTTAAACCATAAACATAATATGAACAAGAATTAAAATCAAGAAGAGTAAACTTACAAGAAGAGTAAACTTACCATGAAAGATGTGAGGGGAGAAGCAATCAGAGTTGTATGTGCAGCAGCAGCTCTCTCTCTTTTTTTTTATGTATAAGGGATATAATATGAAGTACTTGAAAGAACTAGGAATGTAAGAGATAGGCTAAGAGAATCGGAAAGAGAGTATTTAGAGAGACATGAGGGAATTAATAACAACATAATTTTTATTCGTATGAATATTCGATGATTTTTACAATCGTTTACAACCCTTTATATAGGCAAAGGGTAGCGTAAGATTTACAATTACAAAATATTCGATAGACAAAACGTGAAAATACATAAAGTAAAAACTACTGCACACCCTATAGAATGACGGCACATCTATAAAAGTAGGAAATGATAATTCTATACGACAACTATAATAATTCTATACGACAACTATAATTTCATAAATGGCCCTTGAACTTGTTATGTCTTGTCTTATTTTCACAAATGCCCTTGAATTTATTTTAATCTGTTTCTTTGCATCCTTTGTTGAAAAATCATCACTTGCTAAAAGTCCCGATGAGTACTGTCGATAGAAACCGGTGATCCTAGCTTTGTGTCAATCTGTTCTTCACTGTTCATGATATCTTCTAGTCTCAATAGTGTATCTCCTTCACCGCTGAATGGCAAGAGCATATGCCAATTTTTATGAGACCAAATTTGTAAGTAGTGTCCTTCTGCCAGGAGTTTATAGTTTTCCCAACGAAAACTTGCAGGTAGTAAAGGTTTTTTTTTTTTGAGCTGTGCATATATCTTCATTTGAAAGATTCTGTAGAGTTCCAAAATCTATTTCTTGTTTGCATGATAACTTTTTAAGATAACCATGTTGTACTGTTCTTTGGGTGATGAAGATCCTTTTTCTAGCAGGTCTGTATGTATGTTCATCCGCTGCTGGAAAAGAAGAAAAAATTTTGCACCCAATAATTGGACTGATGTTGTGAGAGGCGATGTTTCCGGCTGTTAAAATAATTTTTTCTCCTAATTTATTAAGAAGACTTTTTGTGCTGCTATTGAGGCAGAATTCTAAGTAATCTATCATTCCATTGTGATAAAAATTAATTATTTGTTCCTCTGGCATGTCTGTAGTCTTTAGGTTTATCTGTAACAGGAGTATGGGAGTATCTTCACCTTCATCATTCAATCTTTGGATTACTGTAACTCCTTTATAATTGATTTCTTGAAAAGCAATCTGTACAATCTTTTGCTGTAATTTATATAGAATTGCTGGAAATTCTATACAAATTTTTTGAGACACCATTTGCTCAAATTCTTTAAACTGATCAAGTACTGGTCTCAACGTTTGTCTCCAAGGGAGATCTAAAATGCGAGCTTTAAAACATTCATAGTTTCTGTATATTGTTGTTTTTAATTCTTCATCTTTTTTCTCATTCTTTGTATAAGCTGTATATTTTTGCTTCAAGAATTTTTATTTTTTGTTTCAAAATATTATTTTCAATCTGCCTTTGTATATGTTGTGTATCTTTTCCAGATTGCATAAGTTGTTGTTGTAACTTAGCAATAATTTCTTCCTGAGCTTTAATCATTTGCTCTGGACTAGTTTTTGCTATTTTTGAAAATGTTTTCACCTGTTCGGGTTCTATGAAAAAACTGTTTAACCCAAAATGTTCTCGAGCAATATTCATAGCTTCTTGGAAGTTACAACATCCCTTGTAAAGGGGATTTTGACACTGTATATATTTTATGAATGTTGCCCAATTATTAAAAATCCCAACTTTAGTGCCCCTGATGATAACATAATGTGTAAACTTCTTTATTTGTTTTTCAGGGGTCAGTGGTGACTGTTTATGAAAGTAAAAACTTAAAGCATTGAGGATTTGAACTTTAAATGATGAAGCCTGTTGAACTGTCTGAATATGTCATAAGTTGTCTAGCAAACATTGTTGGTCTTCTGTCAAGTTTACTCCAATCATGGGCCTAAACTTTTTACGTTCATTGAAGCAAATTGGTAAAGTGCAGTTACCAAATGTTATAACGGCTTCTCTGTTCTGTGTATATTGTGTGTTTTTTGAAGGTCCTGTCCAATAATATGCATGTTGAATATTTTGAGATTGTGGTCTAGATCCTTGCAAGAGGTTATTATTATGTGTAGTACTCGCTATTTCCATATAAGGAATCGAGTTTTGTTGTGTGGGTTTATGTAGATATTTTGTTTTTATTGCCGAATCCAATAATTTTTCTGTTGATGTTGTGTTTCTATCTTCCTCTGAAGAAATGCTCATGGAAGAGGAACTCCTTTTTTGTTGTGTAGGCTGTATTAATTTGTTCTTTCCCTTGTTTCGACTATCCATTTGCAGAAAATAATCTGTTAATATTTCTGGATAGCATATCAGCTATTCCATTATTTTCTCCCTTTATGTGTTCAAAATTTATTTTATATCCACTTCCTTGTATTGCATTTTGTAAATTAATCCATCGTGTCCTATTTATTTTCTTACTTTGATCATTTTTAATAAAACGAACTATAGCTTCACAATATGTTCTAACTGTACATTCTTTATGTAAAAATATCTTAAATTTTTCTAAAGCATTTATTAAAGCTTGTATTTCGTAGTCTATAGAAGTCCAATTCATTCATGTCTTATTAAAGCTTCCACTAGCATATGAGCATATTTTTTCTGTATCTTTTGGGTTGTATTTATCGGGTTTACAAAGGAGAACGGCTCCCCATCCTTCTTTGCATCCATCAACTTCTATTATTATGTAATCAGTAACTAATGGTAATTCTAATGATTTAATATTTTTAACTGCTTCTTTAATTACTTTAACTAATTTAATGTCTTCTTGGTTGAAATGTCTTTGTCCATTTTTTGTTGTTTTACTATATAATAGTCTCACTAACTTTGAAAGATTAGGAATAAACTTTCGTGCATAATTAACCAATCCTAAAAAATCTTGTATCTGTTTAGATTTTCAAACTTTTCTGGGAATTCTAAAATTTTTGTCGATATATGACTTTATAATTCAATTTTTCCATTTCCTATTTCTAAACCAAGAAATGATATTTTTCTTTTAAACAATTCCATTTTTCTTTTAGAAATAACAATACCATTCTTTTTTATTTCTTCAAATATTTTCTGTAAATGCTTCTCATGTTCCTGTACTATTTCACTGGCAACCAAAATATCATCAATATATACTAAACAAAAATCATATTTTAGAAAGATACTGTCCATAAACCTTTGAAATATAGATGGAGTTTAAGCCCAAAGCTTAAAACATTCCATTCATATTGTCCTTCAGAACATGTAAATGTTGTCCATGATTTTAAGATTTTTTCAAGCTGTAACTGATTGTATCCAGATTTTAAATCAAACTTGCTAAAAACTGTTTTCTTTTGTATCAAGTTTATTAAAGAATCTTTATTAGGGATATTGTAACCATCATCTTTTGTATTATCATTTAGTCTTTTATAATTATAAACTATTCGAGCTTTTCCTCTTTTTATTTCAGAATGATTTCTTACTATAAAAGTTGCTGACCTATGTGGACTTTCCGATTTTCTATTAATTAATTAATCCCTTTCTATCATTTATGGTATTTTTTTTAAATTCTTCTTTATCTAAATGACTATATTCTATATTTGCTGTTCTTATTGTAATATCAAGATTTTTTAATTTAAATTTACAAATATAGTTAACTTTTGATTTTGTAATATCTTCTCCTATAAGTCCAATTTTCTCTAAGTGTAAAATTATAGGATGATTCATACTTTTGGTTATATCTTTTCCTTTTTTCTAACTCATGTGTTAAAAATTCTGTTAATAGCTTAATTGTTTCATTTTCAACATTTGTCTTAATTTGATTATGTTTTAAAAAGTCTAGTTTATCATGTCCACCACGCTTTTGCACAAACTCTGATGTATTGGTCTATTTAAGTGTTGGAAAA